TTTTAGCTGGCACGTTCCTCTGGAAACTGAAGAACTTGACAGCCATAGTCCTCTAGCTCTGAGCTGTCTCACAGCTCTGCCTTATGAACTGCATCTGCTCTTCCACCCACCACCCAGCATCATATCATTATAGGGAACAGCAGGCAACACCCAAACCCTGTAAAAATACAAGTGACGACAGGAAAACTGGAGGCGTCCAGGATCAGGGATTATACTCTGTGACAGGTTTTCTTTATGATTACCCCATACTGCACAGGCTGGAGATGCAGGTTTGCCAGTGGATCATAGGTCCCTGCACGGCTCCAAAGCCATATTGACACTTCCACAGGACCCCACCTACAAAAGGAAAAACAAGTCATTTTCTCTTCATCAGCATCATGCATTTTTATTAATTTCCCGTTCAAAAGAGAAGGAGTATTTGGCCCATTTGTGACAGGACAATTGCCATAGCAGCAGACTGTAATGTCTCAAACACAAGACTATGGCAAGCCTGCAGGATCAAGCAAAAACTGGGAGGGAGACTGCGTTCATCCAGACAGTTATTTATTCCTTCCCTTTTTCCATTAAGTCTCTCTCTCTCCATCTTTTTTTCTTCCTCCTTCCTTCCTGATCATGAAATCAGAGGCATGTTATCCTTCCAGCAAGCTGGAACATGTTGAGATGCAGGGTGTCATATGAAGTAAGTATGTGCTGCAACAGGTGGGACATAGGACACAGGTTTCCAGCAATAAATAAATAAATAAAAAACATTGCTTAGGCTAATTGAGGGGTACAAGAATGTATTTATACTGCTTGCTCTATTTAAACACCTGTGTGTCCATCAACAAGACACAGACTTGCTTTTTTGTGGGAACTTGAACCCCCTGCCACCTGCTGCATTATCCAATTACTTCACTTACCTGTGATCTCCTAATTCCACCACCAGGAAAAAAGAAGAAAAAAATTGGAGACAAGCTGGTAGAGAGGGTTGGAGTAGCCCTCTCCAGTGGCACCGTGCCACTAGCCCATGAATTTTTCACAGGTACCAGCCACTATCTTTATTAATTGCAAAGGGAATTTGCAGGCAGCTGCTGAGAAAATAAATGACATTTTGCCTAAATGTTTTTAAAAGGCCAGATCCTCAGCTGGTCTGTGTCAAAATCAGTGGAGGTCTGCTGATTTACACCCACAAAGATCCTGTCAGCGCTGCCACAGCAGGAAATGTTTCTCAAAGAAAATTCAAACAGGCTATGTCCTTTAAATATGTGACTGAGAAACCACAGCTTTTTTTAATATGCAGCAGGCTAGAGAAGCCTAATATTTGAGCTCACTATTGTACTGTTGTTTTTGGGTTTTTTTAAAACAGTCAATCAGGTTATTGTCATCTGCTTAGTTAACTGATTCAGAGACCTTCCTTGAACTACCCTTATGCAGCAATGTACTTAATTTCAGACAATCTAACTACTGTGAGTAATGTTAGAGGCGCACAAAAGTTTTTCAGTTTTCCACTGATGCCATGGTTACACTTGCTTCAAAACACCATCTGGAACGAGATGTTTCTAGATGGGACTTTCAGCGAGAACCGTCTAATGAGACCATGATGGAAAAGGCAAACTTGTAAATGGCAAAGATAAAAAACATATTTGGATATTGTGAGTTTGGCAAGAGGAGAATGGACAAAAGTTGGTATACAGTTGCAAACTCCATTTCCAAAATGAAATACACATAGGAGTAACTGGATCTCAGATGTGCACAGATGCATTCAGCAAGGTCTTGAGATATACCTGTTATTCAAGTTTTTCTTTCAAACTGAGATGTGTTGCAGAAATGCAGATCTTTCTGACATTGGTCTGCTTTCACGTCCAGGGTCAATAAAATTTGAACAGATGCAAAATCAAGCATCACCAGCTTTATTAAGCTGTGTGCTGCAAGACCATCTACAAGTGAAACAGTTTTATTCACTGGCAGCAAGTGTGCATGAAACGTATATTCCAGTAATGACTAGGTCTGCATGACCTAGAAGGAACCCACCTGCCCACCCAGTGAACCTGCCAACTTCATTTTAACAAGCCCTTTACGTTTGCCAGACCTGGAGCCACGTCACCTAATAAAAACAAGATGCATTAAAGAAAAGGGCAAAACAACTCACTCCTCTGTTCTTGGAAGCACCATCAGCATTTTTACTTACAAAATAATAAATGTGACAGGAAGTCAAAGACATTAAGGAACAAAGCCCCCTCCCCTCACCCCCCCAAATGTTGGCAAATGGTGCATTAGTTAGTCTAGTGTTTTTTGTTTTTTTAAAGATCAGCTTTCATTAATTTTATGTCATGTTGCAATAACTTGGATGCAACTATACTGAGCTATATCCAGTACTCAAAAAGTGCAGAGGCTGACAGCACATGTATATTTAACCAAAAGTCCCTCCAGCCCCATATTTTTTCCTATAATTCACATATATTCATTTCCAAATGTGACTGACAGGCAGAGCTTAGCTGAAATGTAACCAAGCCTGGTAAAGTGCAAAAGGACTTAAAGAAAAATTATAACTGCTCCCTCAACCTTTTTTAATAAAGTCCAGAGGAGACCTACCTTCCATTTTAGCATTCCTGCTATTAACTGATTGTAGCCAGAAAAATACCCAGATCAGGCCTCATTTGCCATTTATATTACAGTAATACCTGGGATTTCCAGTTAGGCTGGTGTTCCCATTGTGCTAGTCATAAGACAAAGTGAGACGTAGTCCCTGACCCAAAGCATGCACAATCTTCAGTGCCGATCTTGCAAATAAAACCAGGTAGCTCAATACCTGCACTTGTGTAGAGCCCCATTAAATCAATGAAAATTGCCATGATTCTCTTACAGGACTGGGGTGTAAGACTTGTAGATACACCAGGCAATTTTGCATGGACAAATGCAGGTTTCAGAGAGCCTAATGGGTGTGCTTGTGCAGGGGTGTTTATGCACCATCGTGCCTAGGAACAGAGTGGAACCTGAGGGGGATAAAAGTTTGTCCCACCAGAAGAAAAAATAAACCCGCTTTGTATCTAGGATTCCCAGCCTGCAGGCCCTTACTCATGTGATAAATGCTGCTCATGTGAGTAGTTCCCTTTGCTCTGAATGGACAGTTCATAGAAGGCAGGCTTATTTGGACATATCTACTCCTTCGTGACAGGGAGTGCTGCCTGCCACCCTCACTTGGTGTGCTATGAAGTAATGTATCTGCCCATAAGCTCACCACATACCAGCCCCAGCACTAAGGCATTTATGTGTTTCCCATTTTGATGACTATCACTAAGAATAGGCATAAGAACAGTGAACTTCACGGAGGCATTCTCTAGACTGGGCCCCTGCTTGTGTAGACATGCCTTTTACATAATTATGAATACGGCATTAAATAAAAAACAGTTTATGTACTGCTTTGAACCACATCGCTTAGCTTGCTTCTCTGCTTTAGCTGTCCCAGCCTCTATCACTCCCAGCTGCACAGGCTTTCCCTGTCTGTGGGGAGTTGGCCAACTGGCAGGAGGAATCTGCTGCTATTTTTTAATATTTGTTTTACTACAGTCATTCTGGAGAATTAGTGCCTGAACCTCACTGGACCCACCTGTGCCAAAATCTATATCAGTTAAACAGAGGGTAAAACATAGCTCTGCTGTAATTCCACTGATTTCAAGTATAAGGTTTAACTTTCCTGGGAGGTTTAACTTGACTGAAAAAATAAATGTATATGCTCCAAGACGAATAGTTGAGAACAAATAAATTAGATGAAAACAGACCTTTGTCTGTATTTCAAACAGATGACTTGTGAATTGGAAGCACCCCAGCATGCAGAAAGGATTACCAAAATCCAAACCCTCATCTGTGATTGGCTTAACATGACCAAACATAACATAACCTCATCTGTCTTAAACATAACCAAACCTATCCAGCTGGTCAGCCAGTTGTCAGGCATTGTAAAGGTCCATCCTTTGCCTACTGAATGTCAGTAGAAGCCCTTTGGTGGGCACTGAATTGCGTTGCTGCTAAACCAAAAGATCACATTAGCTGTGGGTGGTCTCAAGATGGGGGCAAGTTGTGTTCTTTGACATGAACTCTCAACTAAAAAGGTAACGGAAGGTACTATATGGCCATCTCTGTTACTGTTAAATTCTTTTGTTACTGTCAATCAGATTTTATGTAATTACTATGCAAGAAGCAAGGATTTCTTAGGGTGACATCTTTTATTGGAATGCCTTATATTTTATTGTCTAACTTAATCCCAACTACCTAGTTGGTCCAATAAAAGATATCACCCTAAGGAATCCTTGTCTCTTGCATAATTTCTGGACTATTACAGCTACAGTATTACTCTTACGCTACAAGTGATTATTACCCATTTATGCCAAAAACCTATATTAACCCTGGTCCTTGGCATTCGGTGAGAAACTGAGTACTGGCTGTTGTAGGGGGAAGACTGTATAACTTTATGCTCCCTCATTTCTTGGTGAACAATTGTTCACTTGATGAACAACTTGGCCCATTAGTTAGAGCAGCCTCAAGACCTCTAGTTTCACACCAAAGGCTGAGGTTTCAGGTGTGGGTTTATTGTACGGCACTTCGATTTGCCCCTCTGACCTCGTCCTTCTACTTTCCTGGAATTTATTATTTTCCTTTCCCTCTTTCCTCCTTATATTATCATGGACAAAATTAATCTATCCTGATTATTGTCAAAATCTATCAACCGCTTTCTAGACCCCCATGGACATATGCATAGCATTATAACATCCCCCCTTGCAGTCAGAAGCCATTGCAATCTAATGAAGAACAACTGTGTGAGATATCTCATTCATAAAGGCAATTCTTCATCCACAGCCAAGCTGCAATTTGGTCCTATTTTTTTGTGCTAGAAATCAACTGGCTCTAGTAGGAAGAAGAAAATGTAGGCACTTTTTTTTAAAGTCTAACTACATTTGACTAACACTCTCTGCATATTTAGGCTCACATACTAAAGCCTTGATATCTTTGTCTTCCTGAACCAGGACAGCTGCATCTGCAGACTTTGCATAGCTACAGGAAGTGAGGGCTTGGGGATCCACGTCTCCAGAAGTCCAAATTGTACCTCTCCTGGGAAAGTCTTCACTGTCAGCCAAGTGTTTGCTGGAGGCGCTGCCCACAGGTGCGGTACGTGCTTGGTTATTCTGGGTCCATTTGACTTGGTGGGTTTTTCAGGATACATTTTTCTAACTTTAGCTGCACTTTAGATCTTACTTTCAAAGGAAACCAGTGATGTTGAAGAAACATCTTGTATCCAGCTGCCGAAATGGGAAAAGATATTAGAAATAAGAGCTGGGGCTGTGCACACTCTTCTCAATGCCAAGAGCAAACCAGGATTAGAAGGATGATAGCTGGCACATAACGTAGGGGTTTATGGTATCCTTTATCTACTGCCCTTAAAAAATGCCAGAAAAAAGTGACACCACCTCACAGGAGCACTGGAGAGCTTTGTGGACCACGGTTCCCTTACAGCCTATTCAGCATATACAGCATATTGTTCTCTATAGTACTGCATAACAGTGATGTTACTTTTTTGGACACCAAGAAGTTTCTATAGTCAAACCATCAAAGGAGCTCTGCCTTCAGCCAGCCCTGATCAGCAAGTTCAAGGTGTCAGGAGAAAGAAAGGATTTAATTTTGTTTTTCAGTGGGTGAGACATCAGAAAGTTTCCCAATTATGCCATTTTGTTCCTAGGTCTATAAAATCATGTGTCTATGCCTGGGTGTATTTTCTTTTCTTTTTCTCTAAGGGATGGTCGTCTAAGTCCAGGGGATGAACTCTTATCACTAAATGGACAATCACTTAAAGACCTTTCCTGCAAAGAGGCTGAATCTCTCATTCAGTCAGCAACAGGCTTGGTGACCTTAGTGATTGCCAGTAAGGTAAGCCTGAAGGCTGTGAGCCATCTCAAAATACCATGGCATTTTAACAGCATTTACTTGAGAGACTAGGGTAATGTGTGCACCAAACATCTGGAAAACCTGGTTTTTGCTCTTCATGACAAACCCCCAAACCTCACGTGGTGAGATTCTGCATGACGTTCCAGGAAAAAAACCAGAGGCCATGAGAAGGCAGAGTTCTTGGCAATGTTGGCTGGGGCTCTACAAGCACTCCCTTCACAAGCAATTGTGCATTTGCCATTTGCAAACTAAAGGAATGCAGAGCTGGATAGCAGCAGGGAGAGGTTTTCCCAAAGGTGGGGCCAAGTCTTGAGGCAGCCCCAACCATATACAGGATCCTGTATAAAGGGGGTTGCTACACTGTTGAGGACGTGGTCTATGGACAGCCTGCCCTATCAGCTGGGGTTGGGGGACCGCCATACCATGGGTGTGCCCTGTATGGCATGCCCCCCTGTGAAGAGTGCCTTGCTGTGAGGGACATGCTCTGTGTAATTTATCCTTTTGTGGCCCCTGAGCAACTGGTGACCTGACGGCCCTATTTGCCACCCTTATATTTAGCTTCTGAATAAAGGGCAGATCCATCAAGGGGTGGGTCTGAGGCTTCAAAAAGGCCCAAGGACTCATGGTATCCATGGATCTCTAGCTGGGAATCCCACTTCTAGACTTTTCTGGAGTCTGCTGTGAGGAACTAGGTAGAATTAGTAAGGCTGGTAACCCTCTTCACAAGTCCTTTTATTTTGGGAGGCCTGGACTGGATCCAGACCTCCTGGAGCTTTAATCTGCCCCAAGCACACATCTGGATGGTCCCAGTGCAGCCAATTGCTGCATTTCACATAATGTGCCATGTGGTCAAGGCATGCACCCAAGGAGGCCAGAGGAAGTGTTACCTTGTCCCCATGTGCATCCATTTAAATGAAACCCCTCAACCTGTAGAGAGGTCCAGAGGAAACAGTTGGCCAGGCCAGGATTCTCTGGTTAAAAGTAAACAGCCTGTTGGCAACACTTCCATGAAGACAGCAGATAAAACACTAGCCACAGGCTGTCTTCTCCAGACATGGAGGCACCAGGCCCACAGCAAGCTGCATGGGGCTGCTTCCTTGCTGAGCCCACCCCTGCAGGAAGCCCCTTTGAAGTCAGCTGGGTTCACACATGGGTTCATTGAAGGACTGAGGCTTAACTGTTCACAAATGAAGCCCTTTTCCACTTTTTATCCAGAGACCTGAAAGCTCATATGGGTGCTGAAGGTTTAATCCCAGGTTGCAAAATAAGAGGTCCTGGAAGGAGGGTGCATCAGTTTAGTGCTTGTCTCTCACCCTGGTGCTTGAATTTTTCCCCACCATTTTTTCCCCTTTAAAAATCCAAAAGGGCTGGTATTTTATCAGGCAAATGATATGCAGATTAATTTTTGTAATGTAGCAGCTTCTAACAGACACAGTGAGACTTGGCTCTACTGTGCAGTTCCTCACTGTTCATTTAAAACATTTTAAAGGATTTTAAAAAAGATAATGATCTGAGTGCCTTGATGAAAGGAAATTTTAAGATTTCTGTTCTGTTTCTTACACTGAAGAATTTACTGAGGGAAGCAGACCAGCAAGAACAAGTATTTTTTTGTGACTTAGCAATGGCACCACCTGCTGCTGAAGAGGAAAATTACCACTCATTTACCCATCGTGATAGGACTTCTCCCAACTCTACTAAAATTACACTTCAAGAAGTAAGTTGCTCCTTTTTTTTTTGTCTCTCTTAACATCTCCTGACACCTCTACAGTTCAGCAAGATTCCCCTGAGAAAGGCCCTTTTATGCAGAAACAAAACTTTTATGGTCTCTTACAAAACTATCATAGCCAGTTCTTTCTCCAATGATTTAACTTAAAGAGAAAAGATAGGTTTTTTCCATGCTATTAGCCTACCATTTTATATCATGCATGCTCCCCAACAGCTATAATTTCTTGTGGACTGAGACGAGGTTCACTGCATCCAGTGAACTACCATCAATTGTGTTTTCTGGGTCTATAGGTACAAAGAACCTTTAGAAGTATTCTTAGACTGGATTTCTATTGGGAAGAGGGGAGGTTCATCATTTTAAACTCCAAACTATTTAAACTTCTACACATAGACAGCTACATTAATTGAAAACTTATAAATGCTAGAAATAGTTGCTTGCATTTTCAAAGGCGATTTAGGGTTTCCAACTTCATACACCATGAAGGGACACATTTCTGGAAAGCACTAAGGTCCAGATCTTCAAAAGTATTTGGACAAATATATCACTGTGAAACTATTAGAGTACTTAAATACCTTTGTGTAACCCTGGTCTAAGCACCTATCCTAAGCACCTGCAAATCAGGCCTCTTTACAGTGCTGGAATTTGGGCATCCAAACCCTGAATTCCAAATGTAGACCAGCATGTCTATAGAGTTTAGCAATAAATGAAAATAGCATTACATGAAATAAATAAATAAATTAATCAATTAATTAAAATTGCAATTGTTTGGGAGACATAATTTCATTTAGAGCTTGATAATATGAAGAAAGCATTACATAAAAATATCTATCCCAAACATGCAGTTGGCCCAATAAGATAGCACCCTCAGAAATCCTTGCCTCTTGCATGACACTTCCATACAAGCTTGTAGACAACTTACAGTCTCTTTTGACAGTTTGCAAGAAACATTATGATGGGAAGAAACCAAATCCAGGCAGACCTGGACAGGCTAGAGAAGTGGGCAGAGAACAATAGGATGCAGTTCAACAAGGACCAAGTACAAGGTGATGCACCTAGGAAGAGGGAATCACCAGCACACCTATAGGTTGGGGGACGACCTTCTCAGCAGCACAGCAGCAGACAGAGATCTTCGAGTTGTTGTCGACTCTGAGATGAATATGAGTTGTCAATGTGATGAAGTAATAAGCAGAGCTAATCGCACTTTGTCATGCATTAGTAGGTACATCACAAGCAGGTCCAGGGAGGTGATGCTTCCCCTGTACGTGGCACTGGTCAGACCGCAGTTGGAGTACTGCATCCAGTTCTGGGCACCGCACTTTAGGAGGGATGTGGACAACCTTGAGAGGGTCCAGAGGAGGGCCATTCACATGGTTAGCGACCTGCAGGGAAGGCCCTATAAGGAAAAGTTGAGGGACCTGGACCTTTTCAGCCTCCACAAGAGAAGGCTGAGGGGGGAGCTGTGTGGCAGTATACAGATTAACCAGGGAGGGGTGCAGGGGGGGAGGGATGTGCAGCAGGGAATATGAGATGCTTTGCTTACCAGGGCACCCCTTAGAATAACCAGGAACAATGGCTACTAGCTGATAGAGAGCAGATTTAGGTTGGACACCAGAAAGAATTTCTTCACGGTTAGCGTTGCCAGAATCTGGAACAGGCTCCAAGGGAGGAGGTGCTCTCCCCTACCTTGGGGGTCTTCAAGAAGAGACTGGACAAGCACCTGGCTGAGGTCACATTATACCAGCACTTTTTCCTGCCATGGGCAGGGGGTTGGACTTGATGATCCATTGAGGTCCCTTCCGACCCTACCAACTATGAATCTATGAATCTATGATCAAACAAATCTCCTAATTGTTCCGTTTACACCGAATAATTCACTACCCCTGAAAGTCTCAAATACAAATTAAAATCCAGGCTGATGTTTGTGCAGATCAAGCTCAGATAATTAAAAATAATCTTTTTTTCAGGAATCCCCAACTGGTATCTGTAAAGAAAGGCCTTTGGAAGCACAGAATAATTGTTTTCTGCACTGTAAAGCTACCTGTCAGAGGACTCGCAGTAATTCAACCAGTAAGTTTCTAAGAAGAATTTTTTTCTGTTCTAAAATCGGGAAAGTCTAAATGCATGGAAATTTATGGAGTTTTGATACTGTGATGTAGTTAGAAACAGCACTTCTTGTCATGATTTATCCTGCAGGTTTCAGCTGAAGTATGTCCAATGAGATTTGTGGTGCATGAAGCAGCAGCATTAAAAACAGAGTCAGATATTTGTGCCTATTGATGAATCATGATCTGTGTTCATAAAAATTACATCCTGAATATGCGCACATGTATTTACACATTCTAAAAGTACATGAGGAACAGGTTTACACTTGTTCAGAAAAAAATGTGGCTGGCAATAGAAGTAACATTAACAGAAATATTTTTAAAAAATGGAAATATTATGTATTAAGAGTCATTTTAACATTCTTCCCAAGAGTTATTAAATGGCAACATTTTAACATTGATATTCACAATTGTGGGCTCACCTCTTTGCATGCATTCACCCATACACTTGGCAGCTGTTTGTCTGTTTTCTTGATTTGTACTCATAAGTAATGGTTGAAATCACAGCCCCTTTGAAGATAATGCCAAAGCTTGCATTGATTTTTCTGGGGCCAGTATTTCAGCTAATGTGTTTGTGTGAAAAGGGTATGTGAATTTGACTTAGAGATGTATTTTGGCAGCCCTCTTTGTAAGGTTGGCCAAAGTGAGTGAAAATGCAGATGCAAAACAAATAGCAACATTGTTAAAAGTAACTCATATATTTACAATCACTCATAAATTGTAAATTTATAAATATATTCATAATACTGTTTTGGTACATGTCTCAGGGGCAGGGACACATTTAAATAAATCACTTCTATGTTAGGAATATTGCCTGAAATCAGCATCAATGCCTGTGCTGTAGAGTTAGTATAAGTGTGGGTACTAAATGAGGCATCTGGAGAGAGAGTTTATGAACTATGCTGTATTCTCCCCCTTTTTTTGTCATTACACATACGTACGTTCCATAAAGTACTTTTTGACAGCATATTTTATCTTTTTCTTGAAGTCTTTCAAACATTGAATTTACTTCCACACATGAAAGGTTTTCTGGCATTTTAATGTCCCCTAGAAACAGGGTACAATACTGCAATCACTGCATAGATATCCCACTTGCAGTTCCTGCAGAGACAGTGTGCAGGGCCAGTCGGTACAGTTCAGCATCTGTTCTCTAATCAAAGAGTGATACCATGTCTTCTAAATAGTAAGCCCTTTCAATTTGCTTTGCATTTATACAATAAAATATTCATCATGTGGAAATGATTATTTACAATGCTGTGGGCTGTTTTCCATTAAAAATTTGAGTGATCAGTCTGTTCTTCAAGGAAAATAGTTAAATGCATTGGCTTGTGACCCAAGTCTAAGAGGCTTTGCCTTTGCCAAGATACCCTAGCAATGGGCACACTAGAATTATAGTGAGAGAAACATACTGAAAAGTAAGGAAATTATATCAGCCTTTGAAATCTTTTCCTTTGGTTATTTTTCCTGTGTGCTCTTCATTCTTATGAGTCACAAACTCATTTCATATAATATATATGAACCTGAATCAATATGCTTCCCCAAGTGGATTTGATCTACTCCATACACTTAAAAGTGTGGGTTACAAAGCTGGGATACAAATACACCACACACAAAAGCTTTTTGGGGTTGCATAAGAAAGCAGTTTCTCAGCACCAAACAGTTCCATCTGCTTACTAGGGCCGTGCAAAATTTCACCCGGCGTTTCATTTTGAAGCTGTTTTGATGCATTTCAAGCTTGAAACAGAGAAATCAAAATGAAACAAAAGCCTTTGAAACAGCTTTGAAACGAAATAAGGGAGCGCAAAACATTTTGAAAGTTTTGAAACATTTCAAGTTTTGAAGCCAGGCTTACTGGTTTCAGCGCCGGTCCCCCCGGCAGGCAGATTGGGGCCTCACCCACACCCCTGGGAGGGCTGCGGGGGCTGTGCCGGAGTCCTCCCAGGGGTGCGGGCCCCTGATCTGCTAGATGAGATAAGCTGGGTGCTGCTGCCTGGGATCCGCACCAGGAAGATTGGTGCTGCCACCAGTCCCAGGCAGCAGCACCCGCTCCTCTCATCCTGCACCCAGGGAGGGCTGCAGGGGCTGTGCCAGAGTCCTCCCGGGGGTGTGGGCATCTAATCTGCCTGCCAGATGACAGACTGGTGCTGGGCACAGCGTGCACCCAGCGCCAGGAAGATTGGTGCTGCCATTGGCCCCAGGCAGCAGCACCTGGCTCCTGTCATCTGGCAGGCAGACCAGGGGCACACATCCCTGGGAGGACTCCAGCACGGCCCCCACAGCCCTCCCAAGGGTGCCAGCAGGTCCTACTGACAGGACCTGGGTGCTGCTGCCTGGGGCCAGCGGCAGCACCAATCTTCCAGGCACCGGTCCCTGCCTCCTCTCATCCGGCAGCCAGATTGGGGGCAGATCGGGGGTTTGCCCACACCCTGGGAGGGCTGCGGGGGCTGTGGCCTCTTGGGGGTGTGGGCCCCCACTCTGTCTGCCAGAGGAGAGAAGCAGGGTGCTGCCGCCTGGGACCAGCATTGGGAAGACTGTTACTGCCGCTGGTCCCAGTCGGCAGCACCCACTCCTCTCATCCGGCAGGCAGTTTGGGGGCTTGCCTGCACCCCCGGGAGGGCTGTGGGGGCTGTGCCAGAGTCCTCCTGGGGATGCAGGCCCCCAGTCTGCCTGCTGGATGACAGACCAGTGCTGGGCGCAGCCCGCATCCAGCACCGGGAAGATCGGTGCTGCCACTGGCCCCAGTAGGCAGCACCCAGCTCCTGTCACCCAGCAGGCAGATCGGGGGCATGCACCACCAGGAGGACTCTGGCAGTCCCGGGGGTGCTGGTGGGCCCCCAATCTGCCTGCTGGCTGACAGAAGCTGGGTGCTGCTGCCTGGGCCCAGGGGCAGCCAGGGCCGTCCCTCGGGGTGAGGGCAAATTGGGGCAACTGTCCCCAGCCCTGCACTTTGGGGGACCCCATGGAGCCAGGCAGAGTGGCTGTTGTGACTCTGCACTGCTGCCACCAGTGGCTTTGCATCTGGCCACTTGCTACCCCTGCCACTGCTGCCACCAGCTTCTTTGCATCCAGGGCATGCGGGATTGGGGTGGGGGCAGGTCTCCACACAAAATAATTTGCCCTGGGCCCTGCACCCTCCTCGGCGGTGGCAGCAATGGGGGTGGTAACAAGGAAGCTGCATCCAGGGCACGCAGGATTGAGCTGGAGGCAGGTCCCTGCACAAACTGATTTGCCCTGGGCCCCATACCCTCAACCCGAGGAGGGTACAGGGCCTGGGGCAAATCATTTCATGACCTTCCCCCACCCCAATCCTGTGCACCCTGGATACAAAGAAACCGCCATCAGTGGCAGTGGTGGGGAGGGGTAGTGAGAGGCCAGATGCAAAGCTGCTGGCACTGGTAGTGCAGAGTCACCACGGCTACTCCACCCAGCTCCGTGGGGCCCCCCAAAGCATGGGGGCCAGGGCGGTTGCCCTGATTTACCCCCAACAGGGACGGCTCTAGCACCAGGCGGCAGCGCCTGTCTCCTGTCATCCAGCAGCAGTTCCGGGGCCTGCTGGCACCCCCAGGAGGGCTGATGGGGCTGTGCTGGAATCCTCCCAGGGGTGCGGGCCCCTGACCTGCCTGCCGGCAGATAGGAACTGGGTGCTGCTGCCTGGGGCCAGTGGCAGCACTGATCTTCCTGGACACTGGGTGCAGGCTGTGCCCAGCACCGGTCTGTCATCTGTCAGGCAGATCGGGGGCCCGCACCCCTGGGAGAACTCTGGCACAGCCCCTGCAGCCCTCCTGGGGGTGCGAGCAAGCCCCCAGTCTGCCTGCCTGCTGCATTTTATGTTTCCCCATAATAACCTATGGGCGAAACATTGAAACAGCAAAACAGTTTCAATGAAATGAAATGGAACAGTGCTTTCAAAAAGAAATGAAAGGGAGGATAGGTTTAGGTTAGATATTAGGAAGAACTACTTCACTGTAAGGGTGGCCAGAGCCTGGAATAGGCTTCCCAGAGAGGTGGTGCTTTCACCTTCCCTGGAGATCTTCAAGAGGAGACTGGATAGGCACCTGGCTGGGGTCTTATGACCCCTGCCACTCCCAGTGCTCTTCCTGCCCATGGCAGGGGGTTGGACTAGATGATCTGTCTAGGTCCCTTCCCACTCATTGATTCTATGATTCTATGAAACTTGAAATGAAACACTGTTCTGTCGAATCTTCGAAACAGAAGTTGAATCGGAACGGCGCTGTTTTGCACAGCCCTACTGCCTACAGAGTATACCTGACCTCTTCATTGGTGATTTTCCTACATTCATTATATTTGATTTTTTTCTGGACACGGCTATGTTACACACTAGAAGACCTTAGCAGTAAATTCATAGATTCATAGTCAGAAGGGACCCAATGGATCATCGTGTCTGACCCCCTGCCGCTGGCAGGAAAGAGGACCAAGGTCAGACGACCCCAGCCAGGTGACTATCAAGCCTCCTCTTGAAGACCTCCAAGTTAGGGGACAGCACCACCTTTCTTGGAAGCCCACTCCAGACTCTGGCCACCCTTACTGTAAAAAATGTCTTCCTAATGTCTAACCTAGACCTACTCTCCACTAGTTTGCACCCATTATTCCTGGTTACTCCCTGGGGCACTTTGGTAAACAGCGCATCACCAATTCCCTGCTGACCTCCCCTGATAAACTTATAGGTGGCTACAAGGTCACCCCTCAGCTGTCTTTTGGAAAGGCTGAAGAGATCCAGATCTCTCAACCTCCTCTCATAGGGTCTTTCACAGAGGCCACTAATCATGCGAGTGGCCCTCCTCTGAACTCTCTCCAGATTCTCCATGTCCCTCTTGAAGTGCGGCGCCCAAAACTGGACACAGTACTCCAACTGTGGCCTGACCAATGCCGCATAGAGGGGGAGCATCACCTCCCTTGATCTGTTGGTCATGTACCTGCTAACACATGACAAGGTGTGATTGGCTT